TAAGGTCGCTAATGGATACACGCAAACTTTCTTCATAAGGATCAGTTCCGATAAACCTGGCACCAACAAATTAAACGAAGGTATAAATACTAGGTATTTCTATTTGTCCAGGCAAAAGATATGTTTCTCCTCACACATCTGCTCCAAGTTGCCGGACACAATGAGAAAAGGATAAGCAAAAATAAATAAACTCACCTCAAGAAGTTGTGTAGATTTTCTTCTTGCATCAGAGTAAATGCTTCAGAAAGAGACACAGACATCCGATCTTCTTTACACAGTGGCTTCCGGGAGTTTCCTCCCCCTTGAGCACAAAAGGGGCGAAGATCTTTAGATTTCACTTCTTCTTTAAGATGGATTGGGAAGCACCAAAGATTCAGCACGTAGATCGGGGGATTTTCCGTTGCATATAAACGAGCAAAAAATCCTACTTCTTGCAACATCAGTCTTCTACAGAAGTTATAGGCAGTACTCTTTAGGGTGACAAAGGGTAATTTCAATAGGTCAATCCAAACCCAGTACCTAAGGGAAAACGACACAAACTTAACAACATCTATTCATATAGTCATTAAAGTTAAGAGAGTATTCCCGATCATTCATCATCAAATCAGAGGGCGCACATCTTTGGACAAGAGGATATGTGCAAATAATCTCTTACGTAGAATTACGGATTAACTGCTAATGCACCGATCAATTCGAAGTTTCAACAACCCCCCCTCCCGGACAACCCACGGACATTTGACTGACGTCTGTGCCCGAGAAGGAGGAGGATTCGATCAAAAAGGCCTTTTCGTGGGTGGGAATTTTAACCTTGCCTCGGGTGGGGTGGGGCATTTGAACCGGAAGTACGAATTTGAATCGGAAGTGTCAAGTCCTTTCACCGCTATACACGAGCTCTTTTTTGAGATGGAAGAATTTAAGAAAAGGAAAAAAAAAGGTCTTCAAACGTTGTGCAAATTTGTGTGAGATTGAGTAGTGTGATTTTTAGGTTTTACAGCTTAAATAGTCAATTCAGTAAGTTGCAGGGCTGATATTGCTATTTTCACAAGATAGTTGTTGTCCACAGAGTATGCATGAACAGCTATTGATTAGTGGGGTAAATGTAAAACAAATACAATTCATTCGAAGGTATTGCATTCAGTGGCTAAACACAACAGTATAATAAAATTTCACATCGTAGAACATGTTAGAATTATGCTTACAACCAAATGGCCATAAACCATGCCTTTTTCTCGCCATTTAAACATTTTCTCTTTTGGAAGAGGGGTAACTGGTCAAAAAATCCGGCACTTAAGTGGGGGAATTTAGACGCAGTTTTGGCCCTTGGGGTGCCGGGAATTTAAACGAACCAATCTTCAAAAGTTCAAAGGACGGGGGTGGGTGGGTGTTGCCCAGAGGGTGGGATTTTGAAGCTTTGAAATGATCGCCACTTAAATTTTAACCAATACAAAAGATTAAAGCCAGTCCCCAGAATTGTTAAAAACATATTCTCAGCCTAAAGCAAAAAACCCATTTTTTTTTTTACTGAGAAACTTTCTCAGATTAAATGCCATTTTCCAGTAAACAGCCTACGGTTAGTCAGTTTTCCACGCAATTCTCACGTGCACATTTGCTATCAATCAAATTCGCTGACGAAGGAACGGCAGTAACCATTGCCTTGGCCTGCGAACAGACCGTTGCTTGGTCTCGTCACGCAACGAAGGAAAGAGTGTAATGGGGGAATGACACTACAGGAAGCGTGACATCAATGCAGTTTCTTTTTGCCAACAG